ATTTACATTTCGTTTCGAAAAATATTTTCATTTCATTTGAAAATGAAAATGACTGTCATATAATTTCCTTAATTTGTAATTTTTTATACCCTTCTTGATATACTGCGTTACGTTGAAATATATTATAATATTTGTTTGTTCATACACGAATAAATCGACAAGGAGAGCTAACGATGATGACACGTAGTTTTTAAAAAATACCAAGACACAAGAAATGCGTGAACTGCCGTTAAAAACTAATCAGTTCATTGGATATTTCAACTAGTATAAGTATGTAATTAAAAACACTCCAGTTTGTTGACTTCTATACATACATATATATATATATATAATCAGTGGTCCATATAAAAATATTTCAGAGTATTTAAAATTATTTACAAAAAATGTTTAGGTTAAAATCGTTATATTATTAATCTTAGTTGGCAGGGAAAAATTATACTTTTTACAATCGGATAAAAAATATGCGGTTCGAGTTGGTCCATTGCCTTCATTCTCCGATGCCACTGCTCAAAACTGTTCAACGAGACATTGTGCTAATAATACTAATGTTTATGCGATAAAATCGACTGGAACTGGCGTGCGGTCATTTCGGTCCATTCATTTCGCCGCGTGTTCACGTTGTACACAAATGCAGGATTGTACGCCTATTTATGAACTGTATTATCAGGAAAAGCACAAAGGAAATCCCGGGAATTTTTTTAATCTTTCATGCCGCTACACACTGTTATAAAACGAAATAATACAATAAAGCAATATGATACGGTTTCAAAAATTCTGGTGCGTAAAAATTTGACACGAAGTGATGAAAATATTATGTGGTACAAAATAAAAAGTTTTAAAATGTTTCATAACCAAACAACTATGATCATGTTACGTGTAATAATATCAACGTAATTAAGTACGAAAATATTCCACTCTTACAAATAATGATATTTGATCGGTAATGTTTTCATTTTTTAACCGATCACAGTTGTCCATGTGATGCAAAGAAATGATTTCTAAAACTCCAATTATATCACTTCACGTTTCCATTTCGCCTTGGTTGGAATTTCGATTCGAAGACGAGGTTGGCGGGTAAAAAGTAACGATCTCATACGTATGTAACCGGCGCGTGAATGCGCATGGCGATACCCTGCATTGTACACGTCAGCGATAACGAAATAACATCAAGAAAACGTTTTCCTAAAATCGATATTGTCTCGAGCCGCTGGTGCGTTTAATTGTGGTGCATAATATTTTCGTTTTTTACTCTCCCGCCTTGAACCGAGATGGTAACCGCAATGCAGTCACCGCGGTACGGTGTGTACACGCGGGTGCGCGAACTCGTTCAAGTACCGAACGGGGTTGTCCGGGCGCACCGTCAAACGCGCAGCCATTGTGTGTTCCAACCCCTTTTGCCGTAATGAAAATAATAAAAACAAATATAAAAAATCAAAGCGACGATACTGTTGCACGATCTGCTGCGCGTACGACACGACGGGAAACCGAAACGATATTTGTTCACGAGCCGAAAACTTTGATATTGTTTTTGATTTGCGGCCGATACATCGAATTCGCGGGGAAAAAATTACCGAGCAAATGAGTTATCTAGTTCGACGTGTGTTGCGCGTTGGCGATATTTTATTTGTCAGCGATTCAAACGTTCACATATAATTGGCTCGTTGTTCGAGCGAACAGTCGTAGGGACGCACCGAGTTTCGGACAAAACAATCGAGCGAAAACCCGTAGTGATCATCGTAAGACATAATAATAATACGTATAGTGTAATACCTATGTGAACTCTTTTATTTTCGTCGACAACACCATCGGTGAACAACAAGAGAAATCACGCGTTCGAATAGAAATCGCACCCTCCACAAAACAGTCTACCCGATCGCTCGGTAAACTTATATATATATATATATATATACACACGAGTGTAATAATATAGTATATACGGTGGGTATATTTGTTGTAAAAAAAGAAAGAAAAAAAACTTTTTGTCCAATCTATTCATTATATGTCCGGACATAAAAGGTACTTTTATAACACTCAACAATTCGAGCAGCAGGACCGGTAGGTACTCATTTTTCATTTACGGCAGAAAGTCATCTGCATTCGATTTTCGGGAAATAATCCATTGTACTCGGTGGAGAATACAACGCATGTTATGTACCTGTAACGTATGTTACACACAACGTTTATGGGATACGGTTATAACATTATAACAGTACGTTGTTCGTCCGTGTAGATATTGTTGTCGTATACGCCGATCAAAATCGTACGTATAGACACCAAAAAAAAAAAAAAAAAAATATAGTTTTTATTAAAGTAACAATTGAAATAACGCACATATGTTTCCATAGTCGTCGTGTCACAAGACTACCACGGAAGAATATCTTTATTAGTTCGTTCTCTCTTATATACATTTAAGTACCAATAATAATAATAATAATAATATAATTTGTTTACGTGCTAATCGAAGATATTAAAAAATAATGTTTACGCCAGCTTATTTTCTATTGTGACATCAATATGGGCCTGAATTCCAATCGCCTAATACTACATTGTAAAGGAACTCCCGATAAACCGTGTGGATCTTATTGCGCACGTTCGACATTTGTGGGCTTCCGTACGTTTCCGTACGCTGGCTTTTGCACGAGGTCAACCTAACCCGTGGTAAACAAAAGTGTTTATTATATCATCAACACCATTATGCGCTGTCGATGGGCTTACTTAGGTGTCGGACAACGAAGCACGAGCTTACGCGCGTACGATTTATTTGTTTCGTACAAATACGCGCGCACGCATGTGTATCATGTCCTGCTGCAGCGTCCAAGAAGATTTCGAGTACAATTAAAAACCAGTTTCGATGATATTTGCATAACAAACACAGCACAATACGAGTGGCGACGAGTGTTCGGAACAAAAGCTGCCACACAAGTAACCCGGGGTCTTTCGACGCCGTGATATGTGCAGTATCACTTCACGCACTCGAACGGTATGGAACGCGGTACCGACGGCTTAAGTAGATCGACCGCTGCGTTACTATCGCACAGGTACCGCGCGTGAGAGGCAATAAAATGACGTACCGTTCCGTGTTCACTTCGTGCGCCGGCCGTAATAAAGTCAACACGACCGACACCGGCGAACGTTGTGAATGTTAATTGAACAGCGCGTAATGTTATTATAGGTTTTCGGTGATGACCGTTTGAGATGACGCCTAACCGCGTGAAATCCGGTCCACGTGCGTACCCCCCCCCCACCACCACCCCTCGGGACTACGGCGGGAGGGCGCGAAAACGGCGATCTGTCGGCAAACATTCGTCAAACGTACCGGAACCGGTGGCTTATCCGAAAAACAAACACACGAAATACGGAATACGGACGGACGTGTCCGGCAGCCCGCGGGAGACCGTCGGATTTCCGAACACAACTAATTAATCTTACGCCCGTTCGGCAGCGGAGTACACGGTTTATGCGTGCACACGCGCGGGTGGTTGTGTAAGACAATCGTTGTCGGCCATAGGGGGGTGGTATCGGACGGCGAGGACCCGTGTTTTGTACGAAAATCGACGAGAAAATAAATAAATCCGAAACCGTTCCACCCTGTATTGTACACGGGTACACGCACGCACACGCGCGACCCGCCACACGTTACACGTTCACGCACGCACACCTACGGTGAGGATTTCGGGTACACTGTCTGTACGAAATACGTATAGACACGTACAATGCATGTATACAATATACGCGTGAGGCGATGGTTTATAACGGACGAATAACGTTTCATGAGAACAGACATAATCCGTCGGACCGCAAGAGCAGATCCGAATCCCGTTGTGTGTGTGTGTGTGTGTGTGTGTGTGTGTGTGCGTGTGCGTGTCGGCAAGTGTACTGAGAGAAAAAAAAAAAAATCAATTTTCTATTATTGCCATTGATATTTACTCATTGTTTCCGTAGCCCTAAATTCACGCAGGCACATGCACGGCAGACACGAACACCGCTGTAGCAGCGCTTGTATAATGGGTGCGGGGACAAAAAGTAAAAGAGGGTCTTAACGGGGCATTTTTATTTTATTTTTATTTTTTTTTTTCGTGACATTTTTATCAGTCGGCCGCCATACCCATCGGACCGGACTCGTGAGACTCAAAAGTCAGGGTTGTTTTTTTTTTTTTTATTATTATTTTATGTTTGTACGCATTGTATAAGAGCGTGTGTGTGTTGGTGTGTGTATAGCTAAAGTATGATGTATGTACTTATATGTAGATATAGTGTTCTATATAAATTTATAGTTTTCATACATACACGTATACATTATAATTCGAAATGCTGATTGTTCGTATCCCCACTGTTGCGAAATGCAATCAAAAAACCCTCTCGCGTTCAATACGTACGTACACACCATACACTCATATTTATGTACACGGCGGGCACGTAAACCTGACAGTGGCAGATTTCTAGTTGCACACAAATCGATGTACATCAAATCTATTTATTTTTATCAAATATTTATTCTGTACGCGTGAACGCAAAACGTCGTATATATTATTTTATTGTTCGCACGCGTACCTACGTATGTAGTGTACGTGTACGGTGAAAAATCACGTGAACGATTTGAAAAATAACTGTTCGTGTACATTATTTTTTTCGGCACAGAAACCGCAGCACTACAAAATTCACCACGAAGACGCATTTATAAAATGTCGGTAAAACCGTTCGATGAAATTATTTTGTCACAGAATGTACCGGTGTTCAAAACAAATGCACTTTACTGATGTTGTAGCACTGATATTTTATTGTACCACTAATAAGTGAGTGAAAATCCGTATTAAGATTTTTTCGGTCGGTCCAGTAGTTATAGTCAATAATAAATTTAAACTTTGATATTTGGTTAAAAATAAAAAATAAACAATATTTTTAATTTAATTTCAATTTAAAAACAACCATTTATGGGATCAGGCTATGTTGATGTCAAAAATAGATTTAAAACTATATTTAAGACGGATTCCTCGAACGATATGGGTTTAAAGGCCGAAGTCGCTGGAAGAAGAAGAAGATTGAAGGCATTTTCAGCGGGAAGAGGTTTTGAATGAGGTCCGCAGCCTACCACGGTCTTATCTTAAATACGACATTGTATACGAACGTTTTAGGAGGTTGCCGTATTGCTTTTTCCGATATTTCCAAAGAGTAAATACGTGGCGGCTACTTACAACAGCCCGGCTATTATTGAATATTTAGTCTATGGTTGCGTTACGTAGATACGGTAAAACATGTGAACAACTTAATGAAAGGTTTAGAAACCATTACAAACGTTACATACCAACATAAAATGAAAAAAAAAATAATTCAAACGTTTTCATCAAATTAAACGTAAACGAAAAGTTGGAAAACAATTGCCACTGAAATACAAATGGAAATCAAATAACTGTCTGTAAAGTGTATTTTTTACGTCTGTGCATCGTAATCGATAAAATATTGCAATACGATCAATAGCGCCGATCATGAATATTATTATAATCGTATACGTTGGCTTAGAGGTGGATAATTACAAATTCACGTTCGTAGCAAACAGTTCGGGGCTGACTCTCTGCGTGATCACCAGTGCCGTGCCTAGTATAATCAGCTCCCGGTGCCAAGAATAATTTCTAGTGCCCTCACCCCCTCTACCAAATATTTTTATACTTATAAAAAGTTTACATAACATTATTGGAGAGCCGGAGACAGATTCGTCAGATTTATCTTATTTTTCACATTGAACATTTGTGTCAACAAGTACATTGTACAAACACTTCTAAAGATGATAATATGTAAACAGAGAAAGAGGCTTAACATTATTAATATGTTGAATTTTCAGTAAAATTACTTAGGTAGATTATAAAAATGCGTTTGGCGCCCCATTGGTCAATGGCACCCGGTGCACACGCACCTCTCGCACCCCACTAGGCACGGCCCTGGCGATTGCACGTCGATCCGCGGTACACGTTCCCTTATTTCGAATTTTATTTTGTAACCTTGTAAATTGTTCGTACACACCTTGGTTGTAATCGGTAAATGTAAGTTGCGTCCCGATAACAACATACTCGTACGTAAGTTACAATCCACGATTCTCGGGTACATACGTAAGTTGCGGCTTCAAACACTTACCAGTGAGGAACATTTTAAGTATTAACTAATAATAGTTGTTTCCTTAAATTAGTACTGAGACACAGAGTCCGACTACGTTCATATATTATGATACATACCTCATATTAATGTCATAATATGGTTTTTTAGGCAAAATAAAATTGTTAGGTAGGTATCTAATTAAATAATCGGAATTTTACAGTTCACAAGGACAAAAATGTATTTAAATTTATTAAAAGTCTGGGTGGCATGATAAACTGTAATCACGAGCCTCGCTGCGTCTAGAGTGAGAATTCTCATCAAACATCGTAAAATTACCGTTAACCACGGAACCTACGAGTAAGTGATTGGCTTTTATCATTATATGTGCACTGATGATTTTGTCAGTGTAAACATTAGTAGTAATTTATTAGTCGGGTAAAAAGGTCAGGAAATTACTTCCAAAGTATTCCTCGGGGAAAAGATTGTTCACGCTGCAGTTTACTTATTTGTGCCTCACGTGTCGTACATGCGTAATACGGACGGATGGACGCAGAAATCTTATTACTTTGTGTTTATACACATAAACATATATGTGTACTTACATTCATGTCGAATAAAGGCCGCAGTCATAGGCGTGCGTATGGAGGATACCGGGTTGTGCCCGAGCACCTCTCGAAATGTTGTAAATGTGGCTTTACATTTAAAGGTAAGGACCCGTATTTTAACTGATGTTGTTCATATTCAATGTAATTTATTCTAAAATATCTGTTAAAAAATAAATGGTGTAATAAATAAATGGAAACGGAAAAATGGAAACATTACCCTGTCTAGCAATCAATGACTCACGATCGGATTTATAACTAAACGATGTCGACATTTGAATCAAAACAGACAGTAACCTCAATATTGAAAAAATGTCTAAATATTTCAATTTTAACTCGTTAATAAAATGAAAACTGTAACAAATAATCATTTTCTATCATTTTATTAGGTAATACCACTAATTATCTATTTTTCAAAATATATCGACTGTTAAGAATTCAAGAAAACACGCATGAAGATTATAACTATACCTACAACAAAGTAAATTTTATATTATTGTTATATCTAAAATATGAGATTCCTATAATTTTTTTTTTGTTTTAATTGAATATTGTCCCCATTTCTTAAAATTCCGACGCCCCCTGACAATGTAGTCTGGCTACGACCCGGTGTCTAATACCTGTAATACATAACATATACTTAAAATATAATATAATATAAATATACATACCTACTTCTGGCAGACAAGTGAATATCACATGACGATGCGCGTGCGAGGTCAACGGTTTTTGCTCGATCATTATAGACGCTGCAGCCGGTTACAATAACATATAAGTGTATCGTAAAACGTTGTATTGATTATAATCAACAATAATACTCACATGCGTACATTGTAATATTTATATAATTCGATGAGAGTCAAAAGTTTTATTTTGATTTTATTTTCTTACTCTATTTAATCTGTTATAAATCATAATTATTATTATTTCGTTGTATGTCGATATAATTTTGAACTTATTTATTATTTTCATTTTAGGCACGTCTATCTACAATTTAAAATTAGTAAAAAACGAGTTTAATTCCTTACAAAAACAACATTATTCTTGAACTTGCCGAGTAGGTAGGTGTATAAAGTTTTCAAGGCGAATACGAGTATAGGTGTGCAGTTTTTTATTTTATAGGATGCAACAGAAATATCGGTTAAATATCATAACAACTGAGTGGTTTAAGTATTACGATTTTTTTTTACACCTTGTTTTACTAAATGTAACTCGTATTAAAACGAATGGTATTATTATGAAATTCATGGTTGCGTTATTGTCTGTGTACTTAATTTCAAAATCGTTTAGAAGCTATTTGGTAAAACGAAATATCTAATACACTCTTTATCGAAAATCATCGGCTCCAGGTAGCACAATACAATGGTTTGATTCGTAAATGATTTCAAATTGTTTAAAATAAAAATTCCAAAAATAATAGTAACTCTTTTGTAAACTAATCATTAAGTTGTGTACTTAATATTTGGCGTCACGGTTTTTATTACGTTATTCCGAGTTCTATGGAATATTTCTATTCTTCTACGGCATTATCACGAATCGTACGAAACTACTGACGTGCACAAAGTTTCACTCTAAAGCATGGCGGTCATTTTTACCGGTCCTCTGGTTGAGTTAGATATTGTATTATATTTATATATGCATTATACTATTTGTTATTTACGTAAAGTAATTAGTAACCTGTCGCAGTAATTCAGATATTTAATTATATTGAAAATGAAAAAAACGTGTTGATATTTGGATATTATGACAAGGTTTAAGGTTCAATTGGGTTATTTACTCCTTTAATGATGATTATACGAGAATTTACTGTGTGGTTAAATCGACCGAACTGACTTTTAAAGCGGTAATGTTGATGCAGATCCCTGTGCATAATATTCACGCTTATTGATGGAACACTATCGCAGACCGGTATTGTCTGGTATCTATTACACGATATGAAAACAACGATACGGTTGAATTCTTTAATTTTATCGTTTGTTAACCCACTCGACTCCTAAGCTTTAACAAACTGGGATTACAATAACAACGATTGGGAGGTCCACTACCAGTTGTAAGTTTTAAGGTGCACGACGAACAACCACATGAACTTGATCACAGAAATTAACAATATTTATAGGATTTAATAAGTAATATAATCCGGTAAAAAAATCTCGCAGGCGTTATTTTAAAAATTGAATATTTAACATCACGTCGAAATTTAATATAACAATTTATACCGAGTGATTAGTCGTAATATAGCACACAATTTAAATAAAAATATTAACGTATAAAGTTATATTAATGCATTAATATTTTGTTTTAAATATTTAACGGTTGGTCATATACGTATATACGGTTTGTTTAATCGATAGTCGGATGAAATTAAAACGAACCATTTGGATCTCCTGTGTGATTTTACCTTCCGGACACATGTCAAAGGCTTATTATGGCATTACAATACGATTGTGTTAACTTTTTTAAAAAACGTATGTGTCAGTGTGTAAAACAATATCGAAATTGGTCGAAGACTTCAGCCAGTGGTGTAGGTAAGAGGGGAGGATTAGGGGTTCAACCCCCCCCCCATTCGAAAATTCTATAATAATATAAAAAGAATTTTTTTAATGTACCCATATATGTTTTTTTTCTATTACTATAATAATTTCAAGTTAACCCCCCCCCACCATTAATAATCTGTACCTACGACTCTGACTTCAGCACACGACACGGCAGTCGGTCTGTCGGATTAAACGCAGCCATCGGTGTGAATCAGACTTGACAAAATTAAAGAACAGGGACCAGAGTTTGCTTTAAAAAAAAAGAGCGTCCCCAAAACTTGTTAAGCGTTATAATTATAACGTAATAATAGTAGAGGGACGTTAAAGTTTCTGGAAATTAGTTGGGGTACTCCGTCCCCTTACGTCCCCCCTCAAGTCGAGCACTGGTGTGAATACGATCACACGCGTACACAATCGTACGTTTATATGGATACGTATATTTATGTGCTGTACGCGTACAATGACGCAGTATGGCGATAATTAGTAAAAGTGTTTTTTTTTTTTTTTATTTCTGTAAACGATTTGGTGCGCGGTTATTACGGAACACATTGTATGCTGCGTAGTGCACGTACACAACAAAAAAAAAAAGCTATTATGACAATTAAAACATTTTCCTGTTCGCATTACGAATAATACACTGTGCAACGTTTGTGCACGGGCGGCGACGAATAAGTGCGTATTGTTCCGCGTACAAAACGAGCGAATATTATTGTTTTATTTTTACTCGCGCTATTAAAACGGCGAACCGAGAATATTAAAAATTATTATACGCCATTTATCTCCGGCTTTCCGATACGATTATATACCTGTACAGACGAGTGCAATCTTTTTTCCTCCTTCAGGCAATAATTTTTTTTCAATTAAACGCTGTAACTCGTGCGTATTCAGGCCCGTCGCTAGGGTACAAGCAAGCCATGCGTTGCTTTAGAGCTGCATAACATTTTAAAGAAATCGAGGCGGCAAATTGTAATTTTAAATTTTCAAAAAAAGACAGCAATTTAATTATTATTTTGCGTCTTCATTGCTGATTGTTATCGTAAAAGTTTTGTTATCTCGTTATGATAGCGTATGATCACAATGTATAATTAGTATAGTGTATAGTGTATACTGTATACCGATAACCGATATATATATATAAGTGTATACGTATAATGTATGTAGATATATCGTATATGTAGATTGTAGCCCGTATGGCCATATTGACTAACGATGGTTTTCGATAAAAATAAAACATTGGTATTCCCATAACATAAACGTTAATATATTTATTTTTATGTTATACATTTACCGAATATGATTGCAGTCTTCTATTTTAATAGTACCATATTTTATTTTCCAACCATCGGTCGTCGGTGAAGTAACTACGGTATATGTCCCATGGTCTACGGCCTGCGACTACGTTGAAACAAAAAATTATCGGTAATTACTATAATCTTTTTCAATTAGATTAGTTCTAGATCCGCGCCTGCTAGAGATATATTTTATTTTATTTATACTTCGTAAATTGTACATATTTTTAAAATTAATAACTCTTGTATACTTGTATAAGCTGCTAGACGTGTTGAAAATGTTTTTTGTCTTCTAAAAACTTGTATACTACTAAATTTTTTTTTTTTATTAGATAATTCAATATTGTTATAAATTTATAGCATAGCATAATTGCACATTGATCATGTCGTCACGAAAACGACTTTCTAGTGCTGAATATAAAAAAATTCGAGAAAATTTTATCAACAAACAAGCAGGGAGATTCACCAATTTTTTATTGAAACAACCTATGAATAACTTAATAATAATATTAATACTGATAGTTCACTAATTACAACTACTTATGGAAAAACTGTAACTTCGAGTTAGGACACATAATCAAATTACAATTTGAACTGTTTACCGTTCAATTTTTATGGAAAATCTGATAACTCTTTACAAAGAATAGAAGTCGATTTATTTTCTAATTCTGATAGACATTCTTTTGATTCTGATTCATTTGATTATGAATTGACAATATTTCGGATAAGAACGTTAAGGAAACAAATAGTGTTGAACATTTTACAGTAGTATCAGATGACCCAAGTGACTGGCCACTAAAATTAGCCGACTCCATTCGAATATTATTCATAAAAAAAAGGACCCGTGCAAATAAAAAAATTTTGATTTTCCGAAAAATCTATTGGAAATTTTCTAGCCCATATTACCAATGCACTTTGCATAATAGAGAACAATTAGTAAGGTCCTGGCTGGTTTATTCGAAAAATAATGATACTGTGTACTGTTTCTACTGTAAAATGTTTAGTTCCAAAATATCTGATTCAGGAGTGGTCTCTGAATTTGGTTATAATGATTGGAGAAATTTGTCGAGTCATTTAAAAATACACGAAACATCAAAAATACATATTCTTCTTTTTTAAAATTGGCAAGAAATGGTTGTAAGATTGAAACTAAATCAAACTATTGATTCTCAAAATCAACGTATTATAGAGTCGGAAATAAAACATTGGTGGTCTGTTTTAATTCAGTTGTGTGCTATATTACGTTGCATGGCTACACAAAATCTTTCGATTTGTGGAACATCATTTAATATACATTCTCCACATAATGGCAATTTTTTGAAAATGATTGAATTGTTTTCGCTATTTGATAATGTTTTGAAAACTCACGTAGAAAGGATTCCAAATAAAAACCTTCATGTACATTATTTAGGATCTCAAATTTAAAACGAATAAATTCATTTAATGAGTGAAAAAATTAAAAATAACATTTTGAGTCGAGTGAGAGATGCAAAGTATTATTCCATTATTTCAGATTGTACTCCTAACCAAGGCCGTAACTGGGGGGGGTCTAGGGGTCCGGACCCCCCCGAAATTTTCAAAAGTAGAAACATTTTAGCGGTAAATATAGTTTATTAACTATAAATTGTATTAAATAATAATGTTAGACCCCCCTCCCCCGAAATTTTTTTCCAATTACGGCCTTGCACCTAATTGTAGTCACAAGGAACAAATGTCTATAATGTTACGATATGTTTGTATTTCAAAAGGAGTTGTACATGAGTATTTTATCGGATTTATTGAAGTTTTTGATAAAACCGGTGCTGCTTTAAGTGACCAAATAATTAAAATGCCTTCAGATTTGGAGATAAATATAAATAATACGCGTGGTCAGAGCTATGATAATGGTTCCAATATGAGAGGAAAACATAACAGAGTTCAAAAACGCATACTTTATAATAATCCTAAAGAATTTTATGTACCGTGTAGTTCTCATTCGTTAAATTTAATAGTTAATGATGCAGCGAAATGTTATATTTACACAGACTCATTTTTTAATACAGTATAAAAACTGTAAGTGTTTTTTTTCGGCGTCTGCTGAGAGATGGAAAATTCTGATTAAATTTTTACCCAAATTAACATTGAAGAAAATTTGTGACACGTGATGGGAGTCGAGGATTAATGCGATATCAATTTGAAGAAATTTACAATGCTTTGAATTTTAGTAAGGATGATATAAACTTAACTGGAACGCATGGTCTTCAAACAAAAGCAGATGCATACGCTCTTTTAAAAAATATGTGTGATTTTAAATTTATATGTTCCATTATTATTTGGTATGATAAATATATCATAATACTCAAT